AATTTTTCACGGACGTTTTTTTTTAAACGGGAATAACTCCGCGAATATCGATGCTACTGGGATGAAACATATACTATTTTGTAACCAAGAATAAGGCCTTTCTTTCTATCTTGAAAATACTTTAGTAGAAAATTACTCTACATTCTGCAAATTACAAATTTTCAACTATTAAAATTTCCTGATAATAAAATAAATTTATTTATATTAATTCTTTTTATTATTATAGTATTTATTAGTGATAAAGATTATAATGAAAAAAATGAAAGTATAGATAGTGATGAAGGTGTAGATAATGAAGGTGTAGATAGTGATGAAAATATAAATAGTGATGAAGATATTGATAGTAATGAAAGTATTGGTAGTAATGAAAGTATAGATAGTAATGAAAGTATAGATATTAATGAAGATTTAGATGATGAAGAAGATGCAGATGGTGGAAATTTAAATTTTATTTTTGATGAAAATTATATCAAAGGGTTAAAACTTTTAGCATTAAAAATTAAACATGGAATAACAGATATTGCTTTTAATGATATTTTAAAAACTTTTAACCTTAATATTTCTTTATATAAGTTAAAAAAAAAATTATCTAATTATATAGATTTGACTCCTCAAACAATTGAAATGTGTAGTAATAGTTGTATAGCTTATACAAAAAATTATAAAAATCTTAATTCATGCCCCTTTTGTAATCAATTTAGATATTTTGATAATACAAAGAAACCAAAAAAACTATTATATTTTTTTTCCTTAAAAAAAAGATTTCTTTTACAATATTCTGACAAGAATCAAGCAAAAGAATTAAGATATAGACATGAATATACATCAACTGAACAATATTTATCTGGTGATAAATATATAGATATTTTTGATGGCAGGTAAAAATATTTATATTTAATATATTTATTATAAGAATAAAATTTAAATTAACTAATTATGTATATATATTTTTAGAATATATAAAAATTTATTAGAAAAAAACTATTTTAATGATGAAAGGACAATTGCACTTACTGCTTCTTCAGATGGTTACCAAATTTTTAAACAAAAAACAGATGATTGTTGGATTATTTTATTTATTAATCATAATTTACATCCTTCTATAAGATTTAAAAAATCAAATTTATTGATTACAATGTTAATTCCTGGACCTAAATCACCAAAAGACATGAATTCATTTTTAGTTCCTCTTATTGAAGAATTAAAAGAATTATCAAGTAAGTTAACAAGAAAAATTAATATTTATTAAAATATCTACATCAGTAAATTTTAATAGGTGA